GTCAAAAACTTACAGACTTCTGGAAGGGAGTTTCAACTATCATAGAAGGTTCCACTGGCATTAAACTGCCACATGAACCAGAAACCTACCTACTGCTTAGGTTGCCTGGAAAGATGCCCAAGGCTAGGCGTTATTTAGCATACAACATAATTATAGCAGCACTAACAATAATCAGTACATCGTCGTTACATGCAGCCACACTTAGCATATCCCAGTGCATCGACACAATAGAGACCACAAAGACGTACGAGACTATGGCAAGACGACTGCGGCCCCCAAGACCATAGCTTGGAAGGAATGGGAAATATGGCGGCAGGGTAAGCCACTTGTGGGAATGGTTCCACACACCCATTAGAATACATAACCTACCCAGGAGCAATGCACACACACCACCGCCCACCAGGACTTCTCACAACAAACCATAACACAAGATATTTCGGCTGTAAACGCTAATTATGTAATCAAGTAAGGGAACAACACCTCTCAAATATTTGGACCCATGTTCCTACGAGATAGCAGAATGCCTGCACCGAGGGGGTTGTCTCAGACTGGAGGAGGGGTCGGATCGCCCACGCTAGCTGAATCATTCTACACCACTTTTAGCTCTCAAGAAATCAGGGAGGGACGAACCCCCAAACTCCCTGCTCCATTCTCAACACATTACTGTCTCAAATGAGTCTCCATTGGATCTAGTACTGCCCCTTGCCCTCATTTCTCCCACCATTTTCCCTTTCTCCCTCCCCCTGTTACCCTGGTTTCATTATGCCAATTGGTTTAATACTCCTATGTTGATTATAGTGGTACACATTGAACCAGGGATCCTTAAGAAACTAATCTCAGCACCATGTTAAAATAGTTCATTGTAATCCTAAAGTAGCCAGAATGTATAATATGCAAACCTAACTTAGGATGTACCATACCTCTGCATATCAACTGGATTTTATGGCGTATTTTGTACATGTACCAATAAACTTTAAAGGACCACTCTAGGCACCCAGACCACTTCAGCTTAATGAAGTGGTCTGGGTGCCAGGTCCAGCTAGGGTTAACCCATTTTTTAATAAACATATGTCTTGAGAAACTGCTATGTTTATTAATGGGTTAAGCCTTCCCCCAAAGCCTCTAGTGGCTGTCTCATTGACAGCCACTAGAGGGGCTTGCGTGCTTCTCACTGTGATTTTCACAGTGAGAGCACGCCAGCGTCCATAGGAAAGCATTATGAATGCTTTCCTATGCGACCGGCTGAATGCGCTCGCAGCTCTTGCAGCGCGTGCGCATTCAGCTGACGGGGCGGAACAGAGGAGGAGAGAAGGAGGAGAGCTCCCCGCCTAGCGCTGAAAAAGGTAAGTTTAAACACCTTTCCCCCTTCCAGAGCCGGGCGGGAGGGGGACCCTGAGGGTGGGGGCACCCTCAGGGCATTATAGTGCCAGGAAAACGAGTATGTTTTCCTGGCACTATAGTGGTCCTTTAATAAAATGTTTTACAAAACAAAGAGTTCTACAAAAGAATATTTATCATAAGAAGTCTTAAAGGATCACTATAGGGTAAGGAACACAAACATGTATTCTTGACCCTATGGTGTTAAAACCACAATCTAGCCCCCCTGGGCCCTTCATGCCTCCATAAATATAGCAAAATCTTACTGTATTCAAGCATGAAGCTGTAGCTCTGCATGCTGTTTGCCTCAAAAAAACAAGCAGTCTGCTGACATCATCAGAAGTGGTGGCCTGATCCAATCACAATGCTTCCCCATAGGATTGGCTGAGACTGACAAAGAGGCAGATCAGGGGCAGAGCCAGCATGATTCAAACACAGCCCTGGCCAATCAGCATCTACTCATAGAGATGAATTGAATCAATGAATCTCTATGAGGAAAGGTCAGCGTCTGCATGCAGAGGGAGGAGATACTGAATGTTTGGATGCATTTTAGGCAGCCATGACACAGGAAGGATCTCTAACAGCTATCTGAGGAGTGGCCAGTGAAGTTATCTCTGAAAAGACAGTGTTTACAGCAAAAAGCCTGAAGCTCATGATTCTACTCACCAGAACAAATTCAATAAGCTGTAGTTGTTCTGGTGACTATAATGTCCCTTTAATTAACCCCTTAAGGACCGAGGACGGTTCAGGACCATCATTGGCATTTTCCCATTGCCGACCGCTGACGGTTCTGAACCGTCCTAACGGTCTTAGTTACTTACCTGATCTCCGTCGTTCCCCCGGCGGCGATCAGCGTGGCTCCCGGTGTGGGGAGACTGCCTGCAGCCCAGACAGTCTCCCCACACTGGATTAGGATGCCTGTGGCCATGTGATCGCTTAACACAGCGATCACATGGTCACAACAGGTGTCCATGTGTCTGCCTGCAGGGGGACTGCCTGTGCTGACAGTCTCCCTGCTAGTGTAAAATCATTAAAAAAAAAATAAAGTTAGTGTTAATAAAAAATAAAAAAAATTATATATGTGTATATATAGACATATATCATATCTATATAATATATGTCTATATATCATATATATATATATAATGTCATACTAAGTGTATTTTTATATTAATATGTACTTATATTAATATAAAAATACACTTATAATTAAATTACACACGTGTATATATATATAATAACTATATATATTGTGTATATATATATATATATATATATATTAAAAATATAAATAATAAGTAAATTAAATAAAAAAATTTAAATAATAATACAAATTGAAAAAAAAATATATATCTAAATGAAATTTTATTCTAACTGTATTTTAAAATTAATATATATATTTATATCAAAATACACTTAGAATGAATTTGTATATATCTATGTATATATAAATAAATAAAAATAATACGAAATATACATATGTCCATATACAAAATTACATAAATAATTATATAAATATACATGTAGATTTCAAATATATAAATATGCTTATATATTTAAATTCTACGTGCGTATTTATGTATAATTTTTACATAATTAAGTAATTTTATTGATTGCAATTTGAGGGACCTGCCTGCCAAACCAGGCCGAAAGTGCAGAGAATTTAATTTGCTAGCACTGTATTTTACCCTGTAACGTTCTACAACACCCTAAAACCTGTACATGGGGGATACAGTTTTACTCGGGAGACTTAGCTGAACACAAATATTAGTGATTCAAAACAGTAAAACATATCACAGCGATGATATTGTCAGTGAAAGTGACTTTTTTTGCATTTTTCCCACACAAACAGCACTTTTACTGATGATATAATTGTTGTGATACGTTTTCCAGTTTTTAAACACTAATATTTGTGTTCAGCGATGTCCCCCGAGTAAAACAGTACCCCCCATGTACAGGTTTTATAGCATTTTTGAAAGTTACAGGGTCAAATATATGGGTCAAATATTTTCACATTGAAAATGGCCAGGTTGGTTACGTTGCCTTTGAGAGCGTATGTTAGCCCAGGAATGAGAATTACCCCCATGATGGCATACCATTTGCAAAAGAAGACAACCCAAGGTATTGCAAATGGGGTATATCCAGTCTTTTTTAGTAACCACTTGGTCACAAACACTGGCCAAAATTAGCGTTCAATTTAGTTTTTTTACTTTTTCACACACAAACAAATATGAATGCTTACTTTGGCCAGTGTTTTCGACTAAGTGGCTACTAAAAAAGACTGGACATACCCCATATTGAATACCCTGGGTTGTCTACTTTAAAAAAAATATGTACATGTGGGGTGTTATTCACAGATTTATGACAGATAATAGTGTTACAATGTCACTATTGATACATTTTAACAATGTATGTTTTGAAACCGCAATATCCTACTTGTACCTATAGCCCTATAACATGCAAAAAAAAGCAAAAAAGCACGTAAACACTGGGTATTTTTAAACTCAGGACAAAATTTTGAATCTTTTTAGCAGTTTTTTCATTCGCTTTTGTGGATGAGTAAAAGATTTTTCAAGTAAAAGTCAAAAAACATGTATTTTTTTCAATTTTTCATCATATTTTTTTATTTTTTTAAATTAAAATACATGAGATTATATAAATAATGGTATGTAACGAAAGCCCCTTTTGTCCTGAAAAAAACAATATATAATTTGTATGGGAACAGTAAATGAGAGAGCGGAAAATTACAGCCAAACACAAACACCACAAAAGTGTAAAAATATGCCTGGTCGCAAATGTACAACATCGCAAAAACAGTCCAGTCCTTAAGGGGTTAACAAGCATAATTCTTAAAAGACAAAGAAAAGATAACTATACCTGTTGTTTTGTTCTTTACAAAAAAAAACTATTTGACAATATTCAGATGCTCAGTAAACAACACTTTTGCAAGAGACACGGTTGCATCAGAGAACCCCAAGGCATGAAAAGCAAATGAGGATTCAGACACCTTAAAATTGCCTCCCTAGAGAAATTCTAGACATTTAGAGGCACATTTTGCACGAGATCCGTAATTACTGTATTTGTCACGTGTAGATATTCCAGCTCTCAAAGTCAAAGCACCCTTTATACTTATTGAGACATGCTGATAAATCGTCTGCAGTGTCATACGCAGGCAGAGCATGTTGTGGTATTGTGATAAAATGTAGATGATCCAAAACAAGCCTAATTGTATATATCTTGTAATAAATTTAATTAGAGTTAACAATGATTTTACTATTTTCTTCCTGATGCCAAAAGCCACCAGGGTCTTTCTCCATTTAAAACATTGTCACCAAGCTCAACCCCTATATAAATATAAAACAACAAAATAATCAATAAATAATTAAAATAAACAATATTGGCTGCCATCCCACTAAATATAGTCGACTTTGTGGATATAATATATAAACAAACATACGGGGCATAAAAATATATCAAATACAATTATTTATTAGACATTAAGTATCATAAACATGTGACAGATCACGGCGATAAACAATTCAACTAACAGTGTATAATTACAGAGACATAAAGCACATAAAACCATACAAGGTCTATGCACCAAAGTTCTAGTGATATGAATGTAGCACGCTAGTACCTGGTATAGACGTCCAGTTGTGTATAAGCAATCCAAGCAACGTTCTAAGCAATCTGGGCAAACTTGGCTTAATAATAATCCAGGTGACGTCGACACTCTAGTACAATGAATAAATTCAACACACAAAGGGTTCATAGTTCATGGGATATAATAAGTATAGATGCTCGAATCCACAATGGAATAGGCAGCCACTGCTCAATAAGAAATCTGCTACACACGTGATTAAAACTGTACCGATTGCAGCAGCTAAATCTACATGTTTCGTTTCACTTGGAAACTTTGTGAAAATACAAAGTAGATATAAGTAGTCAAACCGGTTCTTTTTAATAAAGCCCAAATGAAGGGGTGGGATAAAAACAAGTTTTTTCCAATTTATTCTTAAAGGAACAGGGTTTTCCCCAAAAAAAACAGAGCATCTCAATTCATTTTTAGAAGAACCTCACCATGAGAATCTTCACACAGAAAATCTAAAAAAATATTTACTGTAAAACGTAGTCTAGAAAATATATAAACTCCCCACAATGTAGGTAATATTCAGAACCGGGTTGACATAATTACAAACATCATTACAAAAATTAATACAATATAATATAACAAATATTGCATGAAACATAATGACTGATACATAATGTATGATGTGGTTGCTGCACAGGAAATTGTATAAGACAGAAAAATTAAATTCCTCATTCAGACAATTTGGCCGCAAAGAACCCACCGTTAAAATCCAAGCGGTCTCTGTAGTTAACAACCTTTTCTTTCTCCTTGCAACATCCCATTCTAGTGGGATCCACTGTATCCCCATTACCTTAATTTCTTTGGGATTGCTGTTGTGCACTGCTTGAAAGTGTGTTGCTATTGCAGACTTCTTGTCTTGCTTGAGAATCGCTATACTCTGCTTTCTAGAGACATAGAGGTTTGCCCCACATACTGTAATCCACAGGTACAAATGAAAAGGTAAACCACAAATGTTATATTGTAATGAATCCTGTGGACCACAGCATATTGGGGCTCTCCACCAGGTGGTGTAAAAACAATTCCCCATGTAATAAGAGTCAGCTACCTGGAACCTCAACATGTAAAATTGCCACCATTGATAATTCTCACATATCTCTGTGTTTTAATTTGGATAGGACTACTCAATTTTTTAAATTGGTTCTCCATCTAAAGGTAGCATGTGGACAATTAGGTAAATATTCCAGTTTATGATCCTGTTTGAGCACAAGCCAATATTTGGAAATAATAGCAATAATCTCATCAAAACAACAGTGGAAACCATTCACCTAAATGGGTCCCTTATCTACAATGCACTCCCTAGTGCTTACATTAAATATTGGACCATAGCCTCAGGTCTAATGGGGGTGTTGTGCTAAAAGTTTAAAAATAGATTTATGGGTCTCAGAATTAACTGGTTTATAGTTTTTGTTACCTTATTTCTTTCTTTCCCCCACAGAGATTAGCCTTATTATGTTCTCCTGCTTTTAAGTAATCCCTTCCTATAACCTCAAAAGGAAAATACTTTCTCTGTGAAATGTTATACCAGCAATAAAGCTTATTTTTCATAATCACATCTGTAGGTGCAATTGTGGCGGATCTGAGTAAGTGGCCCAACAGGATATTATTTATCCATCTTGGGTGGTGACAACTAGTTGCATGCAATAAACTACTGACATCAACTTGTTTATAATAAGTAGGAGTGGTAATCCTTCCTGAATGTCCCCTCAAAACCAACTTGAGTATTCCTATCTTTCTGAGAGGTGAATGAAAGTCCCCACTTGTTGTTATTAATATATGCAATGTATTAATCTACCTTATCACAAGAACCCCACCATATGATGGGAATGCCATCTATCTATAAACCTACTCACCCACCTGCCATGATCCATGCCATGGGTCAATTCCCAAAAATCCATAAATAAATTAGCATGGGATGAAGCAAAACTTCTACATCCCTTTTGTTTGAACAAAGAATTTTCATTCACAATTGAAAAAGCTAGGAGTTAAAATAAACAATGCTAAATCATACATTTAGCCTGTGCCTGTTTTTCTGGTATTAAAGGATCATTGAATAAAAATATTTTAGAGCCATTAGCCCGAAATTGTGTTTAATATTCGAAAATAAAGCTGCTACATCAACCTTAACCCAAACAAAGTCATCTGACCAAACAAAATCCTCCATTAATCTTAGTATATGTCCCATATCTTTAACATATAACGGAAGATTCACCACATACTGTTGTAGATTAAAACCTATCCATTTAGACATAGATGAATGATATCAAGGTGTTGACCCATAGATGGTTCTTGTTCCCTCAACAAGGACAATAAATTATTCAAAATAATTTTATCTCTAGGATTATCCAAGTCCTCCACCTTTCTTGCTTCCCTAATATTGGATGATCTCAACAAAGCAATTTTCTGAAAAAATTGACAGGCATCTTTAAATATAATTTCAAAGTGAGGTCTAATAGTTTGCGAAAAACTTAGACCTCTCCCCAGTAATGATACTTCCTCTGATGTTAAATGATGGCTGAATAAATAAAAAATCCCTTTTAACATAGACAAATAATTTACCTCCCCTCCCCTCTTTCCTCTGTATTTAATAATCTTTTCCTGATTACGTTTTTTTGAAAGAGTGGGATAGGTTTGGGCAGAATCAAAACTTTCCCTTCGATCAAAAATAATTGCTCCCACCTGCATAGTTTTGAACATATTTTTTTTTAAGGAACTAGCTTTGGGACATGCTCCGAAGCCAGATTCCTTATAATGTCTATCAGAGATATTAAGAGAAATCAGATTAGGGTTCTCTGATGCAGGTTCCTTGTCTCTACATCTAATATCCGATTGGGCCTGATTGAATCACCCATTCTTATTGTTTGTTTTAGTCCTGGCAACTTCCACATATGTCTTATGACCTATTCGTGAGGGGTAATAGTGAAGAACTAGATCAATTACTTTTATTTGGAATAGGTTTTCAGTCTGAATTCATAATACCTGAGATTCGGAGTGGTCTTTTCTTTTTGCTTCCCAACTCCTCACGCTTCTCAACTCTTCACCTTACCACTCTCATAATCCCCTATAGCTCTTAAAAATGTTTTAACTCACTCCAAGCACCACAACCTGTATAGCTTGCCGTAGTGATTATAGTGTTTACCTGGCCTCCCTGCCTTTACTACCATCTCACCATGAACTTCCCTTTGCTTTTCTTCACACACACACACACAGTATAAACTGGTTCAAAAGTAATATTTATCAGCACCATCCCTAGTTTCATGTAAAACCATTTAAAGGTTGTTACTTATAAATCAGGGCTTTCTCTGGTGCCTAAATACCACCCCCTCCTCAACCACGCCGATAATGTAGACAATGGTGATAGGCTGAGGACACAGGGTTAGCCTACAACCATTACTGTGCAGGATTTAATTAAGAATTTATTGAATAGAGTGACTGGTATTCAATTATAAGTTCGTATAACATACAATTAGGAAAATTATTATTAAAGAGGTTAAAATGTTATCAAATTAATGTAGAACATGGATGTTACAGGCTCACAATGATGAGGCATATGGTTTGGTCTAGGAACACTGAGACCTATGGTCTTGATGAGTTCCATTAATTTATGTTTAAAAGATATCATAATAAGGCTTTAAAAAACTGCAGCTACCTTGTTTATCTTGTGCTTTTAGTTTTTTTTTTCTTTGTATAAATCAGTAAAGGAACCTTGAAAGGATGATCTTAAAAGACAATATTTATTTAACCAAAAAAATAAAAGTTGGTAGTACCCATCCATCATTGCATGGGTGTAGATTTGGAAACTAAAAAAAGTCAGATATTAAGGAGAACTGATAGGAAAATTGTGAATTTTAGAGTGCAACAGCTGAACTCAGTTTAATAACTTTATCAGTTTGATTATTTTGACTTACAACCTGCATCCCTTGTCAATTTCACATTTAATAAATAACTCAAGCATTCAATATTATAAATGATCACTCCTCCCTGCCTGAGCCCTAATTTGGTCTATAACAGACTGGACCATTAATAACTGTAATGCCCTTAATCCCTGACCTGTCAGCAGTCCTTGAAAATTACAATTGTAAAACACAAAGATTTACATTCTAGAAGGGTTATTAGACATATTTTACTGGCAGCTAATTGGCTTTCATGTAATCAATCAACAGCCTTCAGTCTTCTGCATTATCATAAGTTAATTAGTAATAGGTGCAAAAAATAAGAACGACAGACAGACAGATATACTATAATTCTATATAACACACACATATATATAAAGAAAACACCTAAACATACGCACAAGGTTGTGAAACTATCTAAAAGTCTACACTCACCTATAATTTGTGTAAATGTAATTTATACAGAAGAAAGGGGTAGTTAAATGGAAGATAGGTTTGTTAACGACACAATTGTGTGAGTGCTAGGGGCTAATATCACAGACAACACAATCAGGTGAAATAATAACAATGTACGTACCTGTGATTTATAGGAGATTAAACAAAACAATCCCTTTAAGCTTTTAATCGCTTTTTCTGTATCTCAAACTGACTTTCTTGGAATGAAGAAGAAGGTTTATTGCTCTAGAACACAGCTAAATTACCTTTCACTGCACTTCCGGGTGTGAACGACTTCTAAAGCCCTGTGACACTTAATATCTCCTTTTTCTAAAGAGCTACAGTGACAGTCACTTTCTCAACGAATAAACATTAAGAATGTATCCTCAAAAAAGTTTAAAGTGACCCAGCTTTAAATGCTGTTGACACATTGTACCTGCGGGCAGCCGTTCTAGGTCATAACAGGTTTTCTGTTTGTTGAAAAAGCCTTTGTAATAAATTCCCCGGAGGCCTGAATGAGCCATGGTAATATCTCTATGGAAACGACTGAAAGTTTAACTAGTGTTTAGAGATTACACAGGGCGTTTTTTTTTTCTATAGGCCTCTGTCGCACCTGCCTGTAAAAATGAGCAAGTGAGATAAAGGCAGGTCTTTTCTCAAAATAAAGTTACCATGTGTACTATAAAATACCCTTTGTGGAGAAGGGAGTCCGGTTTTAAAACTGTACAGTTAATAGATATACAGATTGTTGGCATATGCACCAGCAAATGCTTTTGTGGTTTTTATATACGTTAGTGGTACCTGTCATGATGTCACAACTTTTAAATGAAAAAAGGTGAAATTTAAATTAAACACTGAGCTTAAATGATATGATTTATTCCTTTATTTGTCAATCAGTTTATGGCCTACAGAGTCATCATAGCTCTGTATATAATATGTGTGTTTGTTCCAAGCAGGACCAATTGGTAGCAGGTGAGCGATTAATGCTGTACAAGAAGTATTTAGATAATACATTCTAAATCAGTTAAATATATAATTCACTTTTATGACAAATTCTATTTGAATTGCTTACCACTTAACTATATATATATGACGGAATTCATCTGCCATGGATATCCTACCCTTAAGAATCCATGACGGAATTTTTTTTGTTGTGTGACTGAACTAGCGTTGGCTAGCTATGAGACTGGTGATCACGGGGTTAATGCGGTTGCTAGGTGCAACAGCAAATCCTGATGTCCTTGTATACGTGATCTCTGAGACAGTGGTCACTCTGCCGTGTGGACACTTGATCCGCCTCTCTCCTCCTCATTCTGTGTTACTAAGTGGAGAGAGCCAGATCAAGATAAATTGCATGCATGTAAAGAAAAAGTGAATCAAAAGTTGCAAAATCCTCTCTTTAGGCAGTTATCAGTCAGAAATGAACCCTCTCACTGTGTTCTGTTTTTTGTTTTGCCCTTAGTGGTTAGATTATTATTTTTTTAATTTGTATTATTTCAGTGATTTATTTGGGTGCTACTTAATGGGAAATTGAGTAGTTTAGCATTAAGGTAGTTAATGGTTAGGAAGTTCAGTGTTAAGGAGACTTGTCCCAAAGTGTGACACAGCTGAGTGCCATAATTACTTGCCTCATTCTGCAGGTCCCTTAGCAGAAATGGTTAATTTCCCTAACATTGTTCATGGTGCAGATAATTTTACCCCAGATATTACACCTTTCACAGCAACTCCTGGTATACTGGCTGATGTATCAAACTATAGTCCACATTCACACCAATCGATATATTGCCCAGAATCTAAATTCTTTGATAACCAGAAAAGAGACATGGTATCGCACCAATACACCAAAAGTAAAGCATTTCTGGGCACTCACAATGCTAATAGGGATTATAAAGAAGCCAGTTATTCGGTTGTATTGGTAACAAAATCTTGATTTGCAGTTCACCCATTTTTCCAAAATAAATAAAAGTCCCAGATATGATATGATACTAAGAACACTAAGAGCCTGAAGAACGGTCATACACAATATGATAACCTATTTAAAATTTTCCCCCTAATTTTTCACCTCACTGTAAAATGTATAAGTCTTTATATTCCCCCTCCCCCAAATATATGCATTGATGAGTCCCTATTAAAATGCAAGGGATAACTGGAGTTCAAACAGTTTATACCATCAAAAAGATCAAGATACATTATTAAACTGTATACAATCTGTGAAATTGGCACTTGATACATCTAATCCTTCTGTGTGTATAAGGGAAAGACAGCCACCTCGATCCCCCAGGTTGCCCAGACATTACAAGGACAAGTGGAAACATTTTCTGGAACCTTATCAACCCCCTGTTATACAAGGAGTATCACTTGTACACAGATATCTAATATACTAGCATCCCACTCCTGAAAATGTTAGGCTGCTTTGAAACCCGTGGTACTATAAGAAAGTCACGTACAGGTTTCCTACAGCCATTGGTAAAAAACAAACAAAAAAAAACCCCCCACAAAAATATGAAAAAGGGGGGAAACTGCTGCTCTCTGCTTAGAAGAAGTGATAGCAGTGAAATAAGAGTATAAAAAGGAAGTGTGCAGGAAACTGCACGTCGGTACAGCAGGCACAAGGGGGATTATACCTATTGTTATACCTGTTTTACCTGTTTAAGCAAATGTTGCAGCCGTACCTTATAATGTGAAAAACACAGTGGTAGTTAACTTAATGCAATGGCAACCCACAATGCATTTCTTTTGTACAAAAAGGCAAACACTGAAGTGAGCTGTACATTTTTAACATACCAACTTCAGCTAATGTCAGGGCTGCTGCAGTAGTGCAATAGTGAGGCTCCATCTGCTGGAGAGAACAAAAATTGAGGTAGCTTATTTTTGTTTCCTTGTTCCTCCAACTCTTGGGATAAAGACCCACAGAAAAAGATGTAGGGTGTGTTACCAAAAAGGCATAAGATGCTGAGAGTAGATGCTGATTGACGCATCGCAGTGTTTTGATTGACGCAGCTTATGTGGAATAGCCTCCCAATGCTTTTCTATGGGATTTGCTGAGATGGTCAAGTTTGATGATCTCAACCAAATAGGCAGAGCTGGGCTGAGCTCACCTTTTACTCTTCTGATAGGGGGGCCATAACTGAGTCCAGGTTTTCTTGTGGTTCCTTACAGTATTTAGTTGATTGGAGGGGCTATGGGCCTGCCGATCGTTCTTGGGTTCCGGCTTCCAACATACATGCTGGCTGCAAGATTCGTTCTTTTCACGCCAAGTTTCCACTCAAGCCTGGTTCTGCCCACCCGGTGGGTGGTCTTTAAGTGGGGGCTACTGTCACGGTGCTGAGGGTTTCTGTCGGCGTGGCCGCACGGAAACACAGCGGTCACGCCAACAGAAATAACAAATACTTATCTTACCCGCAGCAGATCAAAGACCGACCTCCTTCCATCCCGGTCCCCAGAATGTGTGGCATTACAAGAGACACCGGCTGCTGCGATTCCATTTTTAATAGGGAAATAGCCTTTGCCCATATCAAAGATGGTGCTTACTTGCCTGCGACATCATGTCATAGACCTGCACGCACGTTTTGGGGTCAGAAGTCTCACACAGCCAATTACAGCTTTAGGAGGGTTATTTAAACTCAAATTACGTTTTGATAAGTGCCTTGTCATGGTTTAGAGAAAAAAGGCAAACAGTATAAACCGTGGCGCTAGACACAGCAGCTAGGACACACTAAGTGGGAATAATCACAAAAATCCCACAGTAAAGTGAATGCAAAACAACAAAGATAGTGTGCAGCGCAAAACAAGGTGATACCACAAAGTAAAATGTGATACATGCACTGTGAAGGTATATATACCCAATAAAAGATACACAGATACCCCAATATATGAGCACAGTCAGGTCTTAACTGAAAATCAGAAGATATTGAAGAATTCAATATAACCTTTCTCCTCTGTCAGTCTCTTTTTCAAATGTTTAGAGGGAAAAAAAAAGGTCCAAGGATATTCTTCTGTGTGGAGCTTGTTCCTCAAAATAAATAATGCAGAACAGGCACACCAATTACAAAACCAAGTATACACATTTATTCAAAAAAGTATTAAAATTCTTACATGGAGGTTGTAATGATGCTGTTCACATTTGAATACCATAGGCACAGTGCCTATGGTATTCAAATGTGAACAGCATCATTACAACCTCCATGTAAGAATTTTAAGAAATGTAATTGGTGTGCCTGTTCTGCATTATTTATTTTGAGGAACAAGCTCCACACAGAAGAATATCCTTGGACCTTTTTTTTTCCCTCTAAACATTTGAAAAAGAGACTGACAGAGGAGAAAGGTTATATTGAATTCTTCAATATCTTCTGATTTTCAGTTAAGACCTGACTGTGCTCATATATTGGGGTATCTGTGTATCTTTTATTGGGTATATATACCTTCACAGTGCATGTATCACATTTTACTTTGTGGTATCACCTTGTTTTGCGCTGCACACTATCTTTGTTGTTTTGCCTTGTCATGGTTTCCCTTATCCTCTTATCCGAGAGAGTGTTCCTGATCGTAGTATTTCTGGTATTTGACTTTGGCTTTGTTTGACTTTCCCAATTGACACCAAGCTTGCACCCAACACAGACTGGGAACCCGCAAAAACAGCATGATGGGGCCTAACTGTGATAGAGCCGGCTGCTCTCCTAGCTGGCAACTCCGCACACTGACCCCTCTGCTTACTCACCTCCTACCCCCCCTATGGACCGGTGGGGGATATCCCGGTCCTCACTGGGTGTCAGGAGCGGTAAGCTCAAATCGACCTATACCACAAAGATACATCGCAACTACACCCGGCTCACCTAAGATGTCGGCTGACAACACGACACTCAAGCAGAGTCTGCTACCACACCATATGCTGCACCAAGATACCATGAGGCATCTGGATGACATTTTTAACCGCTTTTGGGAATGACTATGGGAGCGGCAACTTGCAGCCCGGCCCGCACAGCACACTCTACAGATCAAGGTTGAGCGGGGCCACGAGCAACAGGAGGTGAGGGCAAAATCCTTGGGCTACCCCCACTTTACAGGGCTCACCTGGGCTGAAGGCCAGAAGGGTGAAGACCTGGAAGCATCACCCACACCAACGGAGGCCCAAGCACCACAAGCAGAGGCAAATCATCAGGCCCACCGTTACTCCCACACGTGGAGGAAACTCGGACTCTAGCGGTCACCGAGTCTGTGGCCAAGAGATGCAGGCCTACGCACCAACCTGGGGCAAGAAGGACACCCTCACGAGTACCTGTGCAGCAGCTGCCTCCCGCGGACCACCAGCGGGTGCCAACCGTCCCCCATCAGAAGGCATTGGTTAAAAGAGACACTATCTCAAGTCATAGAGCTCTCATCGTTATATTATTGAGCAGCTATTTCAGCTAGGTCGTTTAGGATGACTAGAATTATACAGATTCGGGAACAGAATGTTTTATCACTAGTGTATCACTGTTTTATCAATGTTTTATTATTATTTTCT